AGCCGGGTGTGGTAGTGCGCACCTGTAGTTTCAGCTACTTGGAAGGCTGAGGTGGAAGGACGCTGGAGCCCAGCAGGTTGAGGCTGCGGTGGCCAGGAGCGGCCACTGCACTCCAGTCTGGGCAACAGAGTGAGACTCCAACTCAAAAAAAAAAAAAAAAAAAAGGAGACAAGGTCTTGCCAAGTTTCCCGGGCAGGTCTCGAACCTCAGGCAATCCACTTGCCTTGGCCTCCCAAAGTGCTGGGAGTACAGGCTGAGCCACTGAGCCTAGCCTAGTTAGTTAATTTGTTGTGTGAATTTCACCTCAATTAAAAAAAGAAAACAGAGATTAGAATCATTCATTCCTTCATTATTCCACAAGCATTTTCCTCACTTTTTTACTTTTTTAAAGAGAGTATTTTTAGAGCAATTTTAGCTTTAGAGAAAAATTGTACAAAAAGTACAGAGAGGTACCATCACCCTCCCCAGCAATACTCCTATTATGAGCATCTTGCAGCAGTGTGATGCATCTGTTACAATTGACTAGCCAATATCAGTTGATCATATGAACTAATCATATGAACATAAAGCTTATGTCAAGGTTCATTCTTTGTACTGTACAGTTCTATGGGTTTTGCCAAATAAATAATGTCTTGAATCCTCTGCTACAGACAGAAGACTCTCACTGCCCTAGAAAAGCTCTATGCCCCCTTAGTCATCCCTCCTCAGTCATCCTGGTAACCAACGAGCTCTTTTATTATCTCTATGATTTTATCTTTTCCAGAATATCGTATGCTGTAGTTGAAAGCATACGGTATGTAGCCTTTTTGTACTGGCTTCTTTCACTTGGCAGTATGCATTGAAAGTCTTTTTGTAGCTTGAGAACAAATCTTTTAAAGTCACTGAATAATACTCTGTCATATAAATGTGCCACAGTTTATTTATCCATTCACCTGATGAAGAACACCTTGATTGCTTCCACTTTTTGACTATCATGAATAAAACTGCTTATAAACATTTGTGTGTAGGTTTTTGTGTGGACCTAAGTCGTCAGCATGTTCGAGACCGAGAGAGTGGTTGCTGAATTGCATGGTAAGCCTATGTGTAGCTTTATGAGAAACCACAGGACTATATTCCTAAGTGACTATCCTGTTTTGCAGAGTTCCTGTTGTGCCACCTCCTTGTCAACATTTCGTGGTGTCAGTGTTTTGGATTGTAGCCAATTTCATAGGTATGTAGTAGGATCTTTTACTATTATTATTATTTATTTATTTTTAAAGCAGGATTTATTGAGAGGACAGAAAAGCTGCCAGAGTGGGAGGGGACCCAAGAGGACTGCTCTCTTATTATTTTAATATGCAATTCCCCAGTGACACATGGCAAACATCTTTCCATGTGTGTATCTGCCTTCTGTATACCTTCTTTGTTTGAGATGTCTGTTCAAATCTTTGGTCCGTTTTAAAATTTTGGTGTTCATTCTCTGACTGTTGAGTTTTAAGGGTTCTTTGTGTATTTTGAATACAAGTATGTTATCAGATATGGTTTTACTTTTGTTCTTGTTTTTGAGTTAGGGTCTCACTTTGTCATCCAGGCTGCAGCGCCGTGGTATGATCATGACTCATTGCAGCCTCAACCTCTTGGGATCAGACAATTCTCTTGCTTCAGCTTCCCGAGTAGCTGGGACTACAGCCTCGTGCCACCATGCTCAGCTAATTTTTTGTAGAGATGTCTCACTATGTTGTCCAGAATAGTCTTAAACTCCTGGCTTCAGTAATTACCCCCTCTTCAGCTCCCGAAAGTGCTGGGATCACAGTCATGAGCCACCACTCTGGCCCCTTTATCAGATATGTGCTCTACAAATATTTTTTATCCCAATCTATATTTTTTTCATTATTTTACTATGTCTTTCACAGAGTAGGAGTTTCTAATTTTAATAGAATTCAATATATTAATTATTTCTTTCATGGATTGTGCTTTTGGCATCTTATCTAAAAAATAGTGCCAAACCCAAGACCACCCAGGTTTTCTCTTATGTTATCTCCTAGAGGTTGTACAGTTTTACATTTTATATTTTGGCCTGTGATAATTTTGAGTTAATTTTTTGTGAAAGACGAAAGGTCTGTGTCTAGATTCTTTTTTTTTTTCTTTTTGTACGTCCACTTCTTTTCCAGTGCCGTTTGTTGAAAAGACTGTCTTTTCTCTATTGAACTGCCTTTGTTCCTTTGTCAAAATTCCGTTGATTGTATTTGCATGGGTTCACTTCTGGGGTCTCTGCTCTGTTTTCCTGCTCTGTTTGTCTGTTCTTCCACCAATATCACACTGTTTCGATCACTGTAGCTGTATATGGTCTTGACGTACAGTGTTGGGGCAATGTGGAGAATTTTGAATAAACTCAACTGTGCAATTTGTTTCATTTTGCCTAGAGTGATATTATTGTAGTTTTAAAAAATAAAATAAAAACTACTTATTGTAAAACAAAAGTGTCTTTAATGTGTTAATGTATTTATTTCAAACAGAAATGACATAATACTATGATACTGTTCTCTCTTTTCATTCATGTGGTCAGGTCCGTATTGACATGTCTTTATGTGATATTGAAACCATAGTTTTTCACTATTTAAGCAATGGTACAAAGAACATCTCATTATTTAGTAAGGATTTCCTGCCCCAGATTTAGGGTTCATTTTGTTGTTGTTGTTGGTGGTGGTGGTGGTGTTGTTGTTGTTGTTGTTTGAGTTGAAGTCTTACTCCATCGCCCAGGCTAGAGTACAGTGGCTTGCTCACAGCCACCCCAGCTTCAACCTGCTGGGGTCAGGTGATCCTTCCGCCTCAGCCTTCCAAGTAGCCAGAACTACAGGTGTGCGCTACCACGCCTGGCTAATTTTTTTGATTTATTGTAGAGATGAGGTCTTACCATGTTGCCTAGGCTGTTCTCAAACCCGTGGGGTCAGGCAATCCCCTCACCTCAGCCTCCAAAAGTACTGGGATTGCAGGCTTGAGCTACTGTGCCCAGCTGATTTAGCGTTCTTATTCCTTCTCAGTCCCTCTGTGGGGTGGATTATTCTTCTTCCAAGATTGGGCATTATTCCAACTGTCTTGTCTCTTTCTCTCTTTGATCTTTTTGCCTAAAAACAAGCTCAACTTCCTCTATCAAATAACTCCCTCTCCTTCAAACTACTGTCCTATGCCAACCTTAGACTAGTTTATACTCCTCCACTTCCTCCTTTCCCATTACTTCATACTTCCCTGCCTTATGTATCTTACCATTCCACCAAATCTTCAAGATCCAGGTTACCAAACCAGTGGTCCTGAGATTCTAAGGGACCACTGCTCCCTCTTTGCTTTTCTAGGGTATTGGGAAGTCTTACCCAGACTTTCTGATATCTCTCTTCTCCTGATCCCCAAATGTGGATGTTCCCAAGGATCACTCCTTTGTTTTCTCTCTTTATATTTTCTCTTTTGACAAGCTTGTGGTTTCAATGACTACTCCTATGCCAGGGACTCCAGGATGGATATTTCTAGCCCAGACTCCGATCTTCAAGTTTGAGTCTTACCTTGCAACTTCCAGGCAGACTTTTCCACTTGATTTTCCCTGCAGCACCTTAAACTCTTTATCCACCAAACACAGAAGAAGCCTCACTTCAAATCTCCTGCCCTGGTCTCTAATTTCAGTTAACGACATCCCCAGAATGTCATTCTCACCTGGGCCCACCCTCTTATGTGTGTCTACAGCCAGCTCATTTGGACATCAGGCTGGCTGTATATCTGTGATGTCTTTCCCACCTATCTCTAGCATCACACTTCCTCTGTCTCCATCACTGCTCCTTGACTATGACAATGGTCTTCTCACTGGCCTTGCTGCAGCCTTTCAAGCCTACAGCAATTTCATACACTGCAACCTGAACAGTCTTGCTAAGCACAGCTTTGTCACGCCCTTCTTGGAAGCCTTCAAGACTCTTCCAA